TATCAAATTTAAATGTAATGAACATTGGAAATACATTGGTCTGTGTGCATTGCATGAATATAATGTACAAGCTTCACGTTTTGAATGGAATTACTGAAATATTTTCAACCTTTTGATGATATTCTAATTTACTGGCCAGCACCTGTATGCTCTAATGCAGACCTGGGCATTTTACGGCCCGCGGGCCACATACGGCCCTTTGGTTGACTTTGACCGGCCCGCGTAAGGTTAATTGGAAATTACAAAATAAATGTATTTTCTCATTTTACCTCATGCATGGGCTAAGGCTGCATTGCTTTTATTTTGAAGTTGTTTTTTACGTGCACAATGACGCAATACGTATAGCCACAAGTGCCCGCGGTTGACATGGTGATTGTAGCCCGAGAAATGTCTGCTCATGCAAAAAAAAAAAAAAAGAAAGATGCCGAATGCAGGATTTTCAACAAAAATTGGACTGCTAAGTATTTTTTTTACTGAAGTCGGAGGTAAAGCCGTGTGTTTGGTTTGCGGGGAGGAGATTGCCGTGTTTAAGGACTACAATTTGAGTCGGCATTACGACAAGAAACACTCGGAAAAATACAAGAACTCATCTGATGCTGAGAGGGCACGGACATCTGAAGCTTTGCTAGCAAAGTTGCAAAAGCAGCAAGGCTGTTTTACTAAGCTTCACACATCCAGGGATGCAGCAACCAGGACCAGCTTTGTGATATCCCACAAAATAGCTAGAAACAGCAAGCCGTTTTCGGAGGGAGAGTTTGTCAGAGTGCATGGAGGACTCTGCCGCACTAATATGCCCTGAAATAAAAGGCGCATTTGAGCAAATCCCGCTGTCCAGGCGAACCGTGACCAGGAGGATCGAGGACATTGCGGGGAACCTGGAGCTTCAGCTGCAACGTGAAGTGGCAAGTTTTGACTTTTTCTCATTAGACGGGAGCTGTGATGTCCGGGACACAGCCCAGCTGCTCGTATTTGTCCGGGGGATAACGGACTTCAAGCTCACAGAGGAGCTGGCAGCAATGCAGTCGATGAAAGGGACAACAACAGGGAGTGATCTTTTTACAGAGGTAAATGCGTGCACGGACACTCTGGGATTGAAAGGGGAGAGACTGTCAGGTGTCACAACAGACGGTTGTCCAAATCTTACAGGGAAAAATGTCGGACTTTTGAAACGCATGCAAGATAAAGTGACAGAAATCGATGCAGATCAAAAATAGGTGTTTTTGCATTGTATTATACACCAACATGTGTTGTGCAAGTCAGTGCTAAAAATCAACCATGTTACTGATGTTGTTACTAAAATAATAAACTTCATCAGGGCGCGGGCGATGAATCACAGACAGTTTGTGGCTCTTTTGGAGGACTCCACACAGCTGTCAGATGGCTCAGCCTGGGGAAAGTGCTGAAGAGGGTTTGGGACTCGAAAGCAGAGATTCAGGATCTCTGCTGGATTTCTACTCTTCTCTTAAGGAGAAGAACTTTCCAAACCTGAGGAGACGTGCTCAGAAGATGTTGGTTTTCTTCGGCTCTACCTACATTTGTGAACAAACATTTTCAATGATTAAGTTTACAAAATCCAGGTAAAGATCCTCTCTCACTGATGATCATGTGTCAGCTGTGCTTCGCATCTCCACCTCAGACATTCAACCTGACTTTGATGCACTCGTTAAAGCCCAGCAGAGACTAGATTTATCTCAATGAATAAGAAAAAAATTGCTTAAAAACACAAAATAAGGTGTTTGGACCACAAATGTAGGCAACTAGCAGTGAACTGGGACACTTTTTTTTAAACCTCTTTCTCAAGATCACAGTTCAGTGATTTTATTTTACAGACAATACTGCGTGTCTGTAGAATGCTAAGAACCTCTTTCCAACAATATTTGAAACTCAGAATGTGTTTTGGAGTGAATATGACTGAAACTGTTAACTAATATAAGTCACAAATGTTTAACAAAAACCAAATGTGCACACTTTGTTTACCATTGCCTTGGGAAATTTGAATAAATCACATTTTTGTAAGACAACCTCACTTTTTCCTTTTTGCTCATTCATAACATTTAGTCTACTCTTACCAGCTTGAAAAAACGATGGTATTTACTGCTTTTTATAAAGAAATACCATTAATATTATGCATAATTGACTTCAGCCTTTTGGCCTGGCCCTCCACAATATTTTCTATTTCTCATGTGGCCCCATGGAAAAAGTAATTGCCCACCCCTGCTCTAATGGGAAACAGTCTTCAACACAAACGGTTGTTTTTCACTTGGTCTTAGAGCTCAACCAGTGTCAATTTAATATAGCGTAATATTGCTTTTGGATGGTAAAAAGTGCAGGGGTCAAAACAAAACATGATTTTGGAAAAAGTGTGTGTGTGTGTGTGGGGGGGGGGGGGGGGGCATGTCCCCCTCCCCCCCCAAAAAATTACGTCCATGGTAACACACATGTTGCGGTTGCGGGCAGTAATGGCCAGAAATTAAGCGGGAGCGGGCAGGAGTGGGATGAAGAAAACAGTCCCGCGCAGGGCTCTAGACCACATCATCCGCATAAAGCAGAAACGAGAGTCTCCTGCCACCAAACTCGACACACTCCACACCACGGCTGCGCCTAGAAATTTTGTCCATAAAGGTAATGAACAGAACCACTGACAAAGGGCAGCCCTGGCGGAGTCCAACCCTCACCAAGAACAGGTCCGACTTACTACCGGCTATGCGGACCAAACTCACACTCCTCTGGTAAAGGGACTGAATGGCCCTTAACAGAAAGCCACCCACCTCATACTCCTGGAGCGTCCCCCACAGGGTGCCCCTGGGGACACGGTCATGAGCCTCCTCCAAATCCACAAAACACATGTGGGTTGGTTGGGCAAACTCCCATGCCCCCTCCATCACCCTTGCAAGGGTATAGAGCCGGTCCACAGTTCCACGGCCAGGACGAAAAACCACTTTGATCCTCCTCAATCTGAGATTCAACTATCGATCGGACCCTCCTCTCCAGTACCTTGGAGTAGACCTTTCCAGGGAGGCTGAGGAGTGTGATCCCCCTATAGTTGGAACGCACCCTCGGGTCACCCTTCTTAACGATGGGGACCACCACCCCGGTCTGCCACTCTACAGGAACTGCCCCCGATGACCACGCAATGTTGCAGAGACGTGTCAACCACAACAGCCCTACAACATCCATAGCCTTGAGATACCCAGGATGAATCTCATCCACCCCCAGGGCTACGCTGCTGTGTAGTTGTTTGACTACCTCAGCAACTTCTGCCCCACAGATTGGACAGTCCATCCCCAGGTCTCCTGGCTCTGGCTCCTCCTCAGAATGTGCATAGGTGGGATTGAGGAGCTCCTCAAATTATTCCTTCCACCGCCTGACTATAGCCCCAGTTGACGTCAGCAGCTCCCCATCCCCACTGTAAACAGTGTGAGCGAGTTGCTGCCTCCCTCTCCTGAGGCACCAGACAGTTTGCCAGAACCTCTTTGGAGCCGATCGATAGTCTTTCTCCATGGCCTCACCAAACTCCTCCCACGCCCGAGATGTTGCCTCGGCAACTGCCACTGCTGCACCCCGCTTGGCTATCTGGTACCTGTCTGCTGCCTCTGGAGACCCACAGACCAGCCACGCCGTGTAGGCCTCCTTCTTCAGCCTGACAGCTCCCCGAACCTCTGGTGTCCACCAGCGGGTACGGGGGTTGCCTCCACGACTGGCACCGGCCACCTTGCGACCACAGCTAGCAACAGCCGCCTCAACAATTGCAGAGTGGAACAAGGCCCACTCTGAGTCAATGTCCCCCACTGCTCTCGGGATGCGGTCAAAGCTCTGCCGGAGGCGAAGTTGAAGACCGTCTTAACAGGTTCTTCTGCCAGGTGTTCCCAGCAGACCCTCACTATGCGTTTGGGTCTGCCAGGTCTAAGTGGCATCTTCCCCTGCCATCTGATCCAAATCACCACCAGGTGGTGATCAGTTGACAGCTCTGCTCCTCTCTTCACTCGGGTGTCCAAAACATACGGCTGCTGGTCAGATGATACAACTACAAAGTCTATCATCGACCTGCGACCTAGGCTGCCCTGGTACCAAGTGTACCGATGGGCATCCTTATGTTCGAACATGGTGTTTGTTATGGCCAAACTGCGGCTTGCACACAAGTCCAATAACGAAACACCACTCGAGTTCAGATCAGGCGGGCCGTTCCTCCCAATCACACCCCTCCAGGTCATGCTGTCATTACCCACGTGAGCATTGAAGTCCCCCAGCAGGACAATGGAGTCCCCGATGGAGCACTATCTAGCACTCGTCCCAGGGACTCCAAAAAGGGTGGGTACTCTGAACTGATATTTGGCCCATAAGCACAAACAACAGTCAGGACCCGTTCCCCGACCCGAAGGCGCAGGGAAGCTATCCTCTCGTCCCCCGGTGTAAACCCCAACACACAGGCAGAGAGTCTTGGGGCTAACAAAAAGCCAACCCCAGCCCTCCGCCTCTCACCCGGAGCAACTCCAGCAAAGGAGAGTGTCCAACCCCTCTCCAGGACTTGGGTTCCAGAGCCAATGCTATGTGTCGAGGTGAGTCCGACTATATCTAGCCGGTACCGCTCAACCTCTGCCACAAGCTCCGGCTCCTTCCCCGCCAGCGAGGTGACGTTCCTTGTCCCAAAAACCAGTTTCCTTGTCCGGGGATCGGACCGCCAAGGCTCCCGCCTCGGTCTGCCACCCGATCCACATTGCACCGGACCCTTCATGCTCCTCCTGCGGGTGGTGGGTCCAGTTGGATGAGCCCATGTATCCGGTTCGGGCTGGGCCCGGCCGGGCCCCATGGGTGAAAACCTGGCCACCAGGCGCTCGCTCACGGGCCCCAACCCCAGGCCTGGCTCCAGGGTGGAACCCCGGTAACCCTCCGGGCCGGGTACTCCGACTCTGATCGTAAATCCATGAAAGATCCTGTGAACCGTTCTTTGTCTAGACTCCCTAATAACTAATAATATGGACATGATAAGACGGAGACACCAGGACATTTTAAGACAGGTTTATTGAGTTTAGGGAATAGTCCTTCGTGGTTCTGAGAACAAACATAGAAAAGTAAAGCTGTGATGAATATGAGCGGTCGCTGCAAACAGCTGGAGAATGCCCTGCAGCACAGAGGAGGTCCACTTCAGATCATGGCAAAGGTCAACCACTGCAGGAGGACAGAAAAACAGAATCAGATCCTGGGCTCAGAGTCTGGGACAACCTGTTGGTGAGTTTCTGTCCTCACCTGCTGGAAGTCCAGCTCAATGCTGCCGCTGCTGTTTGTGTCGAGTTTGTAAAAGATCCCTGAGGAGGAAGGGAAGCGCAGTCATGATGATGAAGGTCAAAAACGTCATGGTTTACACAGCTGAGGGAAACCACAGTCTAGCCTAAAGAGTCAACCGGGCCTGGTTCTGTTAGAAAACTCACTGAACATCAGCTCCATCCTCATCAGACAGCTGACGAAGTTGTCAAAGTCGATGGTCATGTCGGGGTCGGAGTAGCGGGCCACCAGCTGCTGGTAGATGGTGTTGTTGAGGCTGAAACCTGCAGGGGAACAACAGCACAAGCTAGCTCAGGTTTCACCATCATTTATCAGCTCCTCTTGTTCAGATGTGGAACAAAAGTAATCTAACGTCTTCCTTTTCTCAGAGGTCGAAATCTGTGAATTTGTTGTACACAAAAACCCGAACCCATGTCTAGAGTTCAGCACAGATCTGATCTTCAGAATAAAATTAGCTGATTCAGCCAGAAATAAAGAGAAATCTGAGCTAGTCTGAAAGACGACCTTTGACCTCTCCATGGCAAGTATCACCCCTATTGACTGACAAGATGCCACACACAGAAAAGAGCCAAATAAACAAAAACACAAAGAAAAATAAATCACAAAATGGTTCTGTTCAATCCGACTGGGTCAGTCGGATTGGGTCCAAACTAACAGAACAAAGAAGGTGACATACCGTCTCCATCAGTCAGCTGCAGCGCACAAAGACACAAACACTGGTTAGTTCTCACACACGCACGCACACACGCATGCATGCACGCACACACACACTTACTTTTCTATCATAGTAAGGACCCTACATTGAATTCCATTCATTTTTGTGACTCCATTATGCCTAACCTATACCCCAATCCTAACTATAACCAATACTGATCTACTCCTAACCCTAACCTTAACTAAAACTTCATTCACACCAGACCTATAACTGGTATAGCAAGCTTCTGGTAAGCTTCTAAAAAAAAGTAAGGTCTAAAAAAAATGTCCTCACTTTGAAAAATGTCCTCACATTGTAGGGAAAATGGTCTAAATGGTCCTCAGTATGTGGTGTGTACAAGAACACACACACACACACACACACACACCTCAGAGGTGAGTCAGAACACGAACCAACGCCCAGAGACCCAATCAGATGATTCCGATCCAAACAGGAAGTCAGACATCCCAACATTCCTCTTCTCTATTCAGTGATGGTTATTCCAGAACCTAAGATGTGGTTCAGGTGGACCCAGAACTGAGTCCATCTCAGAACCAATGGTGCTCGATGAACACACACACTGATCGAGTCAACTGGAGCAGAACCACGGTACCACCGGTCAGTAAACGAAGTGAATATTTATTAGAACCACTCCTGGACGGTGACTCATCTCAAGGGTGTTCCCATGGAGATCAGCACACCCTTCAGCCAATCACACAGGTGATTCTCATTCTTGGCTGTGTGGAGGTCCAAAACATCTAACATCAACACAACAGAAACCTCCAGAAGGAACCAGGACCCTCCTCTTTCACGTCCGTCAGGTGTTCCTGCTAATCAGTTCCTGCTGACATGTTCTTGTGATGCATTGTGGGTAGCCTACAGCATCAACAGTTGAAATGTTGCACAAGACAAAACGCTGTCAGGAGAAGCAGAGAGCCGGTTCTCCTCCTGAGGATGTGTCTGGAGGGTCCACCAGACTCACAGGTTACCTTGGGTAGGGGTTAGCTGGGATTAACTGGAAATACTGGTGGTTAACTGGGAAAAGCAGAGGTTTTCTGTGATTAGTGAGGTTATTTTGGATTAGGGGATTTTAACTGAGAGTATCAGGGGTTATCTGGGATTAGCAGGAATAAATGTACCTTTCCGAGTCAAAGGACTCCAAGTGCTTTACACTACATTCATCCGTTCACACAAAGATGGCGATGAGCTACACTCGCTAATCACTATCGGGATTAGCTGGGACTAACTGGGATTATCTTGGGTCATATGGCATTAGTGGAGGTTGGCTGCCTGGGACTAACTAGGATTGGTGAGAACAACTGGGATTAGTGTTGGTTGTCTGAGAAAGAGAAGACTAACAGCAGGTATGAAGTAAAACAACAAAGATTCCAGTAAACAACTGCTCCAGGTGTTTTTACGCCACTTACAGACAGAAACCACCTCCATTAGCGCCGCTCTTCGAGTTTGCTTAAGACAGGAAACAGGAAGTGGGATGTGAACAGCAAAAGAGGAAATTCAGACTAGCCGTCTGTGGCGCCACCACCAAACCAACTTCAACACCCAGCTCACTCGATGCCTCATTCAACTGCTGATCAGCTGACAGAAGTGAGGAAGCTTCTGCACATGCTCAGTTCAGTTAGAGAAGACTGATGGTCCAACTCCAACTGACCTGCATCTTTTAAAGCCACTCTCATCTCCGGAGTGCTCATCGTCCCCGAGTTGTCCGAGTCGTTCTTCTTATAAATCGACTGAGTGGGCAAAAAAAACAAACAAACTCAGATTCACTGAAATCTGCATAAATAATGCAAATCACAGGTCAAAGGTCAGCGCTCACCAGGTAATTCTGCACCTTCTTCCAGAGTGTGGCGAACTCTCCAAGGCCAAGTTTTCCATTACCGCTGTCCTGCTGCAGGTTAAAGATCACTCAGCTGTTCCTCGGCTAAACGGGCTGATTACAGCAAACTAATCAGCAGATATGCTTTACATGTTTAGTAAACATGGAGTCAGGTGATCTGCCCTTAAGGTCGGCTGAGCAGAGTCCACAAACACACACACAGAAGAGATGTTGTGGTTAAAGATACGTCCATCAGGTTCACCATGACCCTGCAGGTGTCCAGGCTGAATCCGTCCGTTTTGATGTCAGTTCCTGTTTACAACAACAAGGGAGGTCAAAACTACAGCGGATCACGTGCAACGTACGCAGGTTCAAGCTTCAGCTTACGTTTGGAAACAATCTTGTTCATGATGGTCTGCAGCTCACTTGCAGAGATCTCCATGTCCTGAAAAAGAGGCAGGGACTCAGCAATATCAGGTAAAGATGTGTCTCGGGTAAAAATGTCTTTCAGGCGGAGCTACAGCAGGTGTCACAGGAAGCATGCTGAACTCTGTTGTGTTACTGAGAAGTTGTGAATACAAACTTACAGGTCCGGCAAGTTTAGTAAACAGATTTTTGAATCCTGAATCCACATCCTGGTCTGAAACCAAGTCCTGGACAGACACAAAGACCAGGAAAACATCATCAATATTCCTGTGGGAAAACTACAAAAGCCAAAAGTGGACAAAAGGCTTCATGTCTAACTCCTCAATAAACAATTTCCAACCAATTTATAAATGAAACGTGCATTTTAAATGGAAGTCATTTTTTTTACTGCTAAAAGTGAGACAATGGCAATTTTTCAGGTTTTTTACTTAATGATCGTCTGTTTTGAATTTCTCTAAAATGAAGAAAAATAAGTAAATAAATAAAAATCAGACAAATTTGAATTTCACAAAATTACCAAAGTTTTACAAATGTTGGAACAGAGATGCAAGAAAAATGATCAGATATGTAATTAGACCAATAAGGCAACATATTGTCTGTCAGCTGTTAGCTTAAACATGCTAAACACCACAACATCTCAATTTACAGCTGGAACTTGCTAACTAACAGCTACCCTGTAGACACAGCTACCCTAGGACACATTGCTGGAGAAAATTTGCTGCTATCAGGGTTAGCTGGGACTAATTGGGATTAGCACCGGTCATTTAGTGGAGATTGGCTAGGACTAACTTGGACTGGCAGAGATAAAATGGGAATAACTCGGGATTAGCGTTGGTTGTCTGAGAAAGACTAACAGCAGGTATGAAGTAGCCTGGCAAGCCAGATTAAATATTATTATTTTAAAACTTTGCAAAGTCTAGGTCACTAGGCTAGGTATGAATTAAACTACACAAAGATTCTGACAACATGTCCTGTAAACATCTGCTCCAGATGTTTTTACATGCTAACAGCTAGAACATGTTACCTTACAGCTGGAAAACACCAAGTAGCTGGAACATGCTAACTAACAGCTGTAACATGCATCAGCCAGAACAGGCTACCTTAGATCTGGAACACGCTACCTTACAGCTGGAGCTAACTAACAACTAGAACATGCTAACCTACAGCTGTAAAATGCTAACTGACGGCCAGAACATGCTAATTAACGCCTGGAACATGTACCTTACACCTAGAACATGCTACCTTACAGCTGGGACATGCTAACTAACAACTAGAACATGCTAACCTACAGCTGTAAAATGCTTACTGACAGCCAGAACATGGGAACAGCTGGAACATGCATCAGCTAGAACATGCTACCTAACAGATAGAACAAGCTAACTAACAGCTAGAACATGTTAACCTATAGCTGTAACATACTGAGAGCCAGAACACACTAACCTATAGCTGGAACAGGCTAACTAACAGCTGGAACACACTAACAGCTGGAACATGCTAACTAACAGCTGGAACACGCTAACTTATAGCTGGAACAGGCTAACTAACAGCTGGAACACACTAACAGCTGGAACACGCTAACTACCAGTTGGAACACACTAACTTATAGCTGGAACAGGCTAACTAACAGCTGGCACATGCCAACTAACAGCTGGAACACGCTAACTTATAGCTGGAACACGCTAACTTATAGCTGGAACAGGCTAACTAACAGCTGGAACACACTAACAGCTGGAACACGCTAACTAACAGCTGAACATGCTAACTTATAGCTGGAACAGGCTAACTAACAGCTGGAACATGCCAACTAACAGCTGGAACACGCTAGCTTATAGCTGGAACAGGCTAACTAACAGCTGGAACACACTAACAGCTGGAACAGGCTAACTAACAGCTGGAACACGCTAACTAACAGCTGGAACACACTAACAGCTGGAACACGCTAACAGCTGGAACACGCTAACTAACAGCTGGAACACACTAACTAACAGCTGGAACACGCTAAATAACAGCTGGAACACACTAACAGCTGGAACACACAAAAAGCTGGAACACGCTAACTAACAGCTGGAACATGCTACCTCCCACCAGAGTTCTCTCACCTCAGTAAGGGTGGCGCTGACCGGGTCATCACAGGGCCTGATGAAACACAAAGTTCCATAAATATCAGAAAACTAAAGCTTCAGTAATTTTCCGTCTCTGATGACTTCTTTATATCAAATCCACTCACCTCCTCTGCCTCGCTCACTGAGGCTCTGAAAGAGTTCTTTCAGAGCCGCTTGAGGAGCCACAGAGAGACTAGTGTGAATTTACCAGAGGAATCTTAAACACCTCACCCGAGAACACCGATGGTCCTATTGGACCTTCCCCACAAACCCCAGAACCAGTGTTTGCAGTTCTTACACAGTCTCAGCCTGCTTCTCAGAGAACACTCTGATGCAGAAATCTCCATTTAGGTGTGGGTCGAAGGTTGATGGAACAATCAGGTACTCGCCAGGTGGCAGCTTGAAGCGATTGCTGACCTCTCGCAGGTTGATGAAGGTTTCTGATCTGGCCTTTTGAGCATGGGACAGGAAGAAGTTCTTATCCAGGTGGACGTCTCTCTGTCCGTGAAACTGCAGGCAAACAGTCAGTTGGGTCAATTCTTGCCATACTAAAGCTACCGATTCACAAAATTAATTGAATGACATGACAAAGTCTTTGAAAGTAAAATAAAAAAGGACTAGATGGCCCTTTAGCAGACCTATCAACTACCTGTACAGGTGAGCAGGTTTTTCAGCCAATAAGCATGGCTTTTACACCGGGCAAATTAGAGTGAAACTTTCTGTTTCGGAAACCCTCTGAAGGACCTGGAGGTCCACTGAGGCTGGACAGTAATGTCCCATATGGTCTCAGTTCATGGTGACCTTGAATCACAACATTCTCTGTAGGTTAACGATTGTACGTTGCTTTGGATAAATGCGTCTGCCAAATAAACATAAACATCACCTCATGATGGATGAGACCACTTCCTTTATTCAGAACAAGAAACAGCCATTTAACCAGAAGGTTCTATTTGAAATATCCCCTGTAGCTCACATGAAGAACACACCTGGATTTTTGCCTGTCTACATGAAGCATACACCCGAGTTATCACCTGTCAACATTTCAATTTTCCTGTTAAACCAGAAGCCAGAATGTCTATTTTGATCCATTAATTAGGCTCCGCCCACCAGCCGTTCAGAAACGCCTCAAGACGAGAAGTCAGTCACCACCGTTATTGTTGAGGTCAAGAGAAGGACCTGCTCAGCCAGAGACACCCGGAACCTGAACCTAATGACCCTTAAGGGCGAGGCAGCTTGGTGGGTGAAGAGTCTGCTCAAAGGCACAAGGGAAGATTGACTAGGAATGAGCTGGGATTGAACCAGCAACCCTCTAATTATGGTAAATGGCCTGTATTTGTATAGCGTCTTCTTAGGGTTATACAACCCCCCAAAGCCCTTCACAACAGCAGGGGCAGCGTTAGGCCCGGCTACTTGGGCTGAAGCCCCGGATCTAAATCGCGGAAGTAACATGCAGTACCAAAGTCCAGCAGAGAGGGAGCAGCTGGCAGTAGTTTGTATACAGCCTGCCTGAGCCTCCACCACTGAAGAAGCCCTTCAGCAGCCGGCTTCTTCTACACTCTCTGCCTGAAACGCATGAGTGAAGATGGACATAAGGACGTTTTTTAGACCAAAAGTACGGCGACAGAACTCCAGCTTTGATGAGACTGGTGCTGACTCAGGTTTGTGAGTCTTATTTGAAAATATTTGTTGTGCTGCTGGTTTGCCTAAAGTTAGCTTACTATCAGGTAAAGTTGTTGGAGAAAGAACGGGAATATTTACTATCATCTCACACTAAACACTAACAGGAACAATACTCTGCCCTGAATATGCTTAATGTGTAGCTTCAGATTAAAGATTATGTGGTACAAGACATATATGATGTTGACTAGTGCGTCACATGTGTGTGTGTGTGCGTGTGTGTGTGTGTGTGTTAAGCCCCGGATCTTCTTCAGTCCTAAATCCGCCCCTGCACAACAGTCATTCACCCATTCACATGCTAGCGGGAATGAGCTAGGATGTAGCAGCAGCTGCCCTGGGGCGCGCTGACAGAGGCGAGGCCGGCCATACACTGGTAACACTGGTCTCCGACCACCACCAGCAGGCAAGGCGGGTTAAGTGTCTTGCCCAAGGACACAACAGCAGCATTCGCTGGCGGGAGCCAGGATTGAAGCTGCAACCTTCCGATTACTCGACAACCCGCTCCACCTCCTGAGCTACTGCTGATTACTGGATGATCCTCTATCTGCTGAGCCACTTCTGCCCAGTTTCGACAGCTGACTAGAACGTCGTTGTGTTTTAATGCCTCCACACCTCCTGGGTGGGCGGGACTTTCTTCTGAGGCGTCTGGACTCACCTGCTGTGGAACCTGAAATGAAAAGGAAAGTAGAGGTTAAAGGTCAGATTCAGGCTGGAACCAGGAATGACCTTAAAGTTAACATTCAGACCTCGTAGATGGCAAAGCCGATGGTGTGCATGTCCTCGCCCTGTTTGCGCAGACGCCTGCGGTTCTTCTGGATCAGACCAACCACAAAGCTGCAGCCCACCTCTCCATCATCAGGGTCATCATCTTCCTCATCCAGCTTGATCACAAACTGCGGGTTCATCCAGAAGGTGTCTGAAAAAACAACAGCTTCTTGTTGCATCAGGAGGTTTACCTGAAGCACCACCTCTGTTTCAACTGCTGTAAGTCCTTCTCAGGACCATCTTGTCTTCTACAAGGCTGCTGCTGATCAACAGAACTGCTTCTCAGCAGCAGCCCATGTAGAGCCCGCAGCTAGAAGGGGCATCAAGTTTACATACAGTTCTCCATTATTTTTTGTCCACCTTCCAAACATAAATGTTAAAACCCCAATAAGGATGGACAAGACCATGAGGACCACAGGTACTATAGTCTGAGCAGTGTGGTACCAACATGGGTTGTTCCTGCAGCCTCCAGCGGTGGAGCCTCTCCTCCAGGTGCCATCAAACTTGCTGATACTCCAGTGCTTGACGGAGTCATCTTCAATAGTGTCGGGGGTCAGAGTGCACACTTCAACACGAGAGTAGTTGCGCAGAAACTCATTGAAGGACATCCTGTGGAGCCAGGAAAAGAGACAAACTCAGTCTGACCTCATAATACCTCACAATTGTTCTCGTAATGAGCCAGACTCACCAGAACTCTCCGTCCTCTGCGTTGGCATGTGGACAGTCACCTGTAACGTAGCTCCACTCAGATGACCTACAGGAAAAAGAAGAGTTGTGCATCAACACGAAGAACCTTCAAAGGTTTGGACTCGGACACGCGTGCATCGTGATGTCAGACAGCGAACTGGTGTCTACACTGGTTCTGTTAGATCTTAATGCAGCGTTTGATCCAGTTGGAAAATAATAATCTGCTCCAGAGGTTTGAAGACGATGGGATTAAGGGAGCAGCCCTAAACTGGTTTAAATCCCATTTATCTGATAGATTCTAGTTTGTTCATGTTATTAAAGAATCTTCTTCCACTGGAGTCAGTCATGGAGTTCCTCGGGGTTTGGTTCAATCAAATCAATCAAATTTTATTTGTAGAGCACCTTCTACAACATTATCCGAAGCCCAAGGTGCTGAACAACATCATTAAAAGAAAAACATTCTCAATACATGGGCATAAAAGCAGGATAAAAACATAAAATCGTAAAATAGCAAGCAAACAGCATTACAGATAAGAGATATTGGAATAAGACCAATCGATAAAAAAAAAAATGTCGGACAAAATAAAATCAAGCATCCGGTTTAAAAAGAAGAATAGTTAAAACCATAATGTTAGGGCAATTCAAGTGACCCTAGCGCTGAAACGCAATCAAATAAAAATGAGTCTTTAAACGAGACTTAAAGACTTGAAGGGATGGTGCCTGCCTAATGCTCAGTGGCAATTCGTTCCACAGAGTTGGAGCCAAAATAGAAAAAGCACGACAACCCCTCGATCGATATTTCGACCGGGGGACCACCAGAAGTTCCTGCTCGGCTGAGCGAAGAGACCGAGATGGAGCATACGTGTTCAAAAGCGCAGTAATGTACGATGGGGCACTGCCCTGGAGGGCCTTATAAACGAGAGTTAAGATTTTAAACTTAGCTCGATATTTTACCGGGAGCCAGTGCAGAGCAGCCAGCACTGGGGTAATGTGCTCTCGGGTTCTTGGACCCGTACTCTTTACTTTATAAAAGCTTCCATTAGGTCAGTTTACTGACCATCACTAGATATGTTTGCATTCTGATGATGATCAGTTCTATTTGTACGTACGAACAGACGATACAATCCGTTAACCAGGCTTTTTATAAAATGATACCATGAAAAACTGATTAAAGTTGAAACCGTTTTGTTCAGAATTTGTGTTGGATGTGTGTCATCCTGCAGCTCAGTGTTGTGTTGTGCTTGGTTACCCATCGCTCCAGGCTCCAGTCCACTCCACCTGACCCCAGGGGTTCCTCATCCTCACCAGCTTCTCCTGACGGCCGCGGTAATTCACCTGGAGGCAGAAGACAGCAGCATGTTTTACCCCGTCGTGGTTTCACAGAGCCTCAGGTTCAGGAGCTCCCCTTACCTCCACTGCACCAGTCAGTGAGTAGGCATGGCCTTTCACCAGCTTCTGGCGAGTCACAGCCTCCGAGTCTGCAGCACTCGTGATCTGCAGCGGCACAAAAACACGTTTCTCAAGGATCAACTAAACCACACGAACCTGCTTCTCGCAGATTCCTCCACGCAGACGAGGTGATGTGTTATTTCTGAGACACACCTGAAACTAAATACTTAATGAACTCACATCGATGGAGCAGCCCAGCAGTGCTCCAGCCTCCAGTGCTTTCTTGATGACCTGAAACAAGTTTGATGGTGGTTGTTTCAGATCAAAGTTCTCAGCAATGCCTCCAGTGAAATCCTCAAATCCCTCAGTGGTGGAACCGCCGGACAGCGCCTCATAGCAGCCATTAACTCTGCAAACACATGGCACCATGTCACAGCCCAAACCTAGTTAGGAGTAAAGTTGTTGGAAGGTTCTGCACAACGTTCTCACTTAGCGTAGGCTTTCTCCAGCAGGGCGCTCCAGAACTCCCTCCCCTCTGCTGAGTGGACGAACAACAACTCTCCGTCTTTGACCGGCAGACGGTCATCGATTACCACGTCCACCCACTCCCCAAACTGCCAGAACTGCAGACGAACAGACAGAAACCTGAAACACCACACACACGTCCTACAGATAGAACCGTTAAATACTGCATCGATCAGGCACCGAATGCCAAAAAGGCCACATGATTGGTAACACCTAAATGATATCTGTTAGGGGTTCTTCATTAACTGACTGATGTCACATGTAGGAATGATGAGTGCTAGAACACCCGTTACCTGGAAGTGAAAGATTCCTGCGTAGTTCTGACCAAAGCTCTGGTCCTGGGGAACGACTCGGGCCATCACAAACTCGTTCAAGGTCAGAGAAGCGATGGCAGCCAGCAGCCAGCAGTCACCTGGAGAACATGAACCACTGTTACTCTGGGTTTCATCTTCCTCCTACCATCTGTTGGGTAATTTTATCAATCCAAGACAGTGGCGTGTCCAGATCTTTTTAAATGGGGTGGCCCAGGTGAGGCACAACTTTGTGCATGGGTGGCACCAATGGTTATGCTTTTTTTTGCTTTACCCCCAAGCCTTTGTGGACAATGAAAAGCCTATTTAAAGGTAAATTGGTGTGGTGGCACCTGGGGTGGCCAATCAGATTCCAAGGGTGGCATGTGCTACCCCAGGCCACTCCCTGGACACGCCCCTGATCCAAGATTACCTTAGGGAAAGTTTAAAGCACAGGGGTTATAGTAATCAATCAATCAATCAACACCAATACCAATCATAAACAATCAATTTAGACTTTGCAAAGTAGAGAGGAAATGAATACACACCAAGCTCGGGTCTCAGTTCACTCTCATCAGGCTTCCGGCAGCATTTATTAAGCACACACACACACACACACATTTTGACATTCCTTAGACTCTCAGGCATAAAGCTGTAAAAGGGAGTCTAAACTTTCTCCAGGTGCACCCTAAGGCCTAGTCCACACGTAGCCGGGTTTGTTAAAAACGAATATCCGCCCCTCCAAAAACTTGCATCCACACCACCTCGTTTTAAAAAAGATACTCTGTCCACACGTACCCGGATAAATACGTTGTTAAGGACATGCCAGACCTGTAGGCGGCAGTACTTCTCCCGTTCTTAACCTCGCCCTTCGTCTGTGGTCTTCTGCAAGGAGCAGTAATTCCTCTTGCAAAAACAAACAAGCAGAAAGCGCTTGGACAATTGATAAAGCGAGCGCAGCTCTGAGGGCATCCATGCTGTCGGCTAGTGTAAACACAGGTCGCACACGTGATGTCAGCATTTTTTTGTCGCGGAAAGTGACGTTGCGGACCTTAAAACTCCGGTTTTGTCCGTCCACACGCAGACACCCAAAACGGAGAAAACGCAGATCTTCACTTTGGCCGGAGTTTTTAAAAAACTCCGTTTTCGTGTGGATGACAGGCCAAAGCGTAGAAAAATATCTACGATTTGGCAGATCCCCGGCTACATGTGGACAGGGCCCTTGCTAGACTTTTCTCAAGGGAGTTTTACTGAAAGGTCGGTGCCGAGGCAAGGTCATCCTCCTCGTAAAATCCACTCCTCCCTGTAAGACCTACTGGAGCCTGGTATCTATCGACAGAATGAAAAGGATGAAGCTACGTTCAATAAAACACCAGATGTTTAACAGTCAAGACATTAACATTAGTTCAATAATAATAATAATAATAGTTTTTATCTAACACCATCTAATGCCCCTACATCAGTGATACCCAACTCCCTTCTGCGAGGGCCGGCATCCAGCATGTTTCACTGTTTTCCCGGCTTCAACACACCTGATTTCAATTAGCAGGTAATGAACAGGTTTCGGCAGAGCGTGATGGGCTGCTGAACAGGTGAATCAAGTGTGCTGGATTAGGGAAACAATTAAAACACGCTGGATACTGGGCCTCGGGGAAAAGAGTTGGGGATCACTATCCTATAGTCCTGGGCTGTGGTTCTCAATCCTGGTCCTGGAGGGCTGGTATTCAGCACATTTTAGTTGTTTCTCTGCTCCAACACACTTTATTCAGTGAATGACCTGTTCAGCACCTGTTCAGCAGCTCATCGGGCTCTGCTGGTTGAAATCCAGTGTGTTGATGCAGGGCTACAACTAGAACACGCTGAATACATGCCCTCCAGGGCCAGGAGTGAGGAGCACTGCTCTGTTGCCCCGACAGTCTAGTGATCCCTATATTCTAATGCCCCTATAGTCTAGTTCAGGGATAGGCAACCCTGGTCCTAGAGAGCTGCATGTGTTCCAGCCACGCATGAACTTGCAGCTTCTAATTGGCTGAACACACCTGATCCAGGTAACAACAGCAGGAACAACAAAGATAGTTGGAAAGCAAGCAGGACCAGGGTTGTCTACCGCTGGTCTAGTTCATGGCTATTTAATTCTGGACCTGAGGGTTGGCTACCTGCATGTTTTCTATCTTACCTTTACCAACACACCTGGTTAGTAAACACACCTGGTTAGTAAACACACCTGGTTAGTAAACACACCTGGTTAGTAAACACACCTGGTTAATAAACACACCTGGTTAGTAAACACACCTGGTTAATAAACACACCTGGTTAGTAAACACACCTGGTTAATAAACACACCTGGTTAGTAAACACACCTGGTTAATAAAGCTTCTTTACAAACAAAATTGGTTCTGGAAACTGTGAAAGTTGCATTCTGTGATTTAAATAAAAAACACGACTCTTGCGTTACGTAAGCACATTTTAGAGATTGGGAAACTAGAGCTGGTAAGATGGTGACATGGTGAATTTGAGCTACTTTTAGCCACATTTACAGACTTGTAGATCCTCACACGCACGTGTCCACCAGTCAGCACGTTTCTAGGAAAAGTGTGATTCAAAAAGCAGGAACTGCATGTTTTATAGGTCTGAACATTACTTTGCATAAGTACTTTTGTTGCTTAGCTTATGTAGAGTTTTAGTAAACATTCTCTGAAGAAGTGACTCTTAACTCAGGTGTGTTGGAGCAGGACAACAGCTGACACATGCAGGTAGAGGCCCTCCATGGCCAGGCTTTAGTAGATCTGATCTACAGGGCCTTACAGAGGTGGAATCTGGACCACACGAGGAACCGTGTCTGAACTGGTCCTGAAAACCACAACCATGCAGAGATGCTGTGTTGCAGGAGGAGGTCTCACTCTGCAGCCAAAAATCCTCCAACAACTGAAAACAAACTTTAGCACAAAGTTCCACAGAGAGGGAGTCAGAGGTCTGATGTGGGTTCTGTCGGCATGACGATGAGTCACAGCACTTGCAAGGGCGTGTGTGTGTGTGTGTGAGAGAGAGAGAGAGAGAGAGAGAGAGAGAGGGTGTTTCCTCTCTCTCTCTCTCTCTCTCTCTCTAGCAGACGCTTTTTCCAAAGCGACTTACAAGTGATAATCGGCATGTTGCCCTTGAGGCTAACAATAACAACAACAACTTGACATCAGTAATGGAGAGGAAGGAACAAGGAGTGGACGGTAGAGGGGGGACGGGTGCAGGGAGGGTGCTAGTTTAGAAGATGCTCTCTGAAGAGCAGGGTCTTCAGGAGTCTCTCTCTCATCCCCTAACAATAGCTGCAGGCCCCTTCCTGCTGTTCCTTCCTGACAGCCAATCAGAGTGCAGCATGGCAGCGCCCTCTAATTACAGCTGATCCTAGTTCAGCTGCTTCGTCTTAAAACTGTGAAAAAAAAACTATGAACTGAGTCATGAAACACCCACACACGAACAGCGTGAGTCAGGGAGGGCCTGGCCCAACAGCAAAACACGCACACACACGCACACACACACACACACACACACACACACACACACACACACACACACACACACACACACACACACACACACACACACACACACACACACACACACACACACACACACACACACACACACACACACACACACACACACACACACACACACACACACACACACACACGCGTGTGTGTTTTAGAGAGAGACAGACAGGACAGCAGCAGGGACATCTGATCCTAGATCAGGTCTTTAGACTCTACCTGGGTGGGTGTATGATGAACAAACCAGGTTTATGAGCCTGGAACTGGTTTATGAAGTTATCCAACCGGTCTGTTTGGGTTTTTCTAAACTGGTTCTGATGATGTATGGATTCTAAACCATGCTGGATCCCAAACAGCACTGCTGATCGTCCCTCACGTCTCCTTTCTAATGCTGGACCTGGTGTACCGTCTGCTGTTCGTCGACCCAAATGGACTCAGGTCCCTCTGGGCTGTCTGAACCAGTTCCAGGCCCTGGTGCAGTTATACTGGGACTGACTGAAGCTAGATCTCAGTTCGGATCAAAACTGTAGATGACTGATTTAACTCTGTGACCTCTGACCTCACCTGTGACCTGACTCTGTGCTGCATTCAGAGACAACCAGGAGAAAACACTCACCCAGAGCCCCCTGACAGATGTCTGTCCGTGTGGCTCCACCCACAATAAACTCCGGTTTGGAGACCAATTCCTAAAGAAGGAGAGAAAGGAAGACTGGTTACCGTGACAACTGCTGATTCCCATCAGGTTACACCCGTAGAAGCTGAAACTCAAAAACGTCAGGCCCGTGTGGTGTTGTGGGTCTTTTCCACCAGAACAGAGTCAACTCATCTCAGTGGCTTGAAGCCGTTCCCACCAGGTTCCTGGCCGTTTTATTCAGGCATTCTCACATTCTCACACTGCCGGTGATGTTAAGCTACCACGTAGCCACAGCCTCCCCGGAGCGGCGCTCCAAGTCGACACATAAAAGGGAAGTCGGAGACTGCTGGTCACCGACTGACCGGCAGGGAGGGGTCACTAGTCGCTTCAGTTTTCCGCTTGCTTCCCGCAGCGCTTTCTGGGATCAGTCTGATAAAAGAAACCAGACACTGAGCGGAACGCTCAACATCACCATCATGTCCGCCGTTGTTGTGTTTTCCACCGGATCAGATGCAGGCGCCTCCGACCCGGTAGAGCCGTTTCTCACCTGTAATTAAGAAACCACTCAAACTGGTTCAGTTAAGCCAGGCGGACTAGTGGAGATGCAGCATGAGTCAACTCTCGACCTTTGACCCGTGCTCTTTGTCAACTCTCGACCTTTGACCCGTGCTCTTTGATTTTTGTTCTGTCAGGATGGCTGAACCACAGCGGCTGGTTCAGTTCAGAAACATGAATGGACTCATCTCCAAGTCCTTCAAACCCCGTTAGAATGGTCCGGTGGGACCAGAACTGGGTTTCGGGGTCATTTGTTGATGGGCCAGCTCTTCCTGGTTGGGTGTGGACCCTGTGTGAGCTCTAGAAGCAAAGGGGAGAAAAAGCCTGACAGGTATGAGGTAGGCCACCAGGTTTTCTGAGGGGGAGGTGGGGGGGCTGACCCCACCTGGATCAGAACCTTCAAGTTAGTGTTAGAGATGCAAGAGAGCGACCCTGGGCCTTCAGCAGAGAGGGGCTGCACACCAGCAGCAGCCACACCCACCCCTCTCCCGGTTCCGGCTCGGTTCTTACCGTGGGTCTCTTCCAGGTCACTCCGCGGGTCTTGTAGGAGCTGCTGCCCAGTTCTTTGAAGCCCAGAGATTCGGGCGCGGCGGGGAACATCGGGTCGGAGAAGAGCTGCCCGTTGTCCAGGCACTGGGCTCGCAGGGCCTCGAAGTTCTGGTTCAGGTACCGAACCGCGTTGGCGTTGGTACCGAACCCGGCAGCCATGGCCCGCTTCTTGGCCAGAGTTGACGCCACGCCGGACATGATCTCGCAGAGGTTCCGATCGGAGAGAAAGTCTGAAGTTTGGGAAAAGTTTTGTGTCGAAGTACCGAGCTGCAGTCAGACCTCCGCCCTGGAGAGGAGGAGGAAGAGGAGGGAGGAGGGGCCTCCGAACTGGTACCTCTCCATGGAAACCAGCTGTGCGTCAACAGGCTGCAGCTGTGAGCGCAGCGCGTGCGTGCGAGCGCACCGAGGTCCAGACCCGGGTAGCGCGCAAGGCTGTGCGCACCGCGGTTCGTCCAATCAGTCCACTTCTCTCTCTCTTCCACGCGTGCGCGCACACACTCACCTGCTTCCTCAGATTAAAACCGCTATCTCTGATAGTTAAAATAAATAATTTATGTTTAAAATCACTTCATCCTCGCTGCTGTCTCCAGGAGAGGGGCTTCCTGGACAGCTCTCCTGTCCATCACAGGGATAAACACCTTAAGAGTCTCCATGTAACCTAACATGCACGTTTTGGTCTGTGGGAGGAACACATGCCCACAACCGGGATTCAAACCTGCAACTTCCTGTTCTCTAATTGCCCCTCTGGATCAGAACCCGTCCTCCTCCCATCTAAATCACTTTTAAGTCTTTTCTCTGACATTCACATGCAGGACAATCAGGACACAGCAGAAGTGGGCGGAGCTAAATGAGTGATGCAGTGCCTGAATTAATCATTCAGATTAAATGTGAAAGGCAGAAGTAGACCTGAATTCTGCTCTGATGCAGGTAACATCAGTATATGGACCATATGGACCAGCAGTTCTGAGCTCGGGTCAGTTAGGTGATCTGAACAACCTGCAGGATCATCAGGTGGTCTCAGCAGGACTGAGGTCAGAGTTTTTCCCACCTGCAGCCATCACTCAGGGATTGGCAGCAACGTGCAAGACCAGTGTGTCACATGGTCATTTTGCTGGAGGTCCCTCACCACACCTCTACCTTCTCACAAGGCTCTTATTGTGAAAAAACAAACAATAACACAGCTTTTATTGTGAAAGTCCACTCCTATACCAGCTCTGTTACTTTGGCGGTGCTTGCGATCAGTAGAAGTGAAGATTTCAGAAGGTTCTGATCCAAAGTCTGGCTTAGTTTCTCCTGAAACTAGTCTACCGGAAGACGGCAGTGGGGAGCTAGACCTGGTGGACAACGACCAGGTGAGTTCAACCAGAACCAGGTCCGGTTCCAGAGAACCAGACTGGTGTTCTACCAGAACTAGGACACAGACGACTCTGAGACCATAGGTCAGGTTCTGCTGGGATGAGGATGGTAGTGGATGAAGCTGATGAGACCTGTTAGTCTAGAGGGGTTTTCTCCACATGACCTTTGAACTGTGTGTGCACGCAGGTCGTTTATTTACATACAAACTGCTGTAAACAATAACTAATGAATCAACAAGGAACAAATGTGTCACTTTATTTCTTCTAAAACAAAGAAATCAAGTCTGCAGTGGGCGGGGCCACACTGACATCACAATTACATCATCGTATTTTCTGACGGGCAATGTGTTCAGCCCACCTCAGGGCCTCAGTAATGTCATTGCTGATTCCTGTTCCCTTGGCAACTACAGCAGAGCCACCAGCCCGCCCCCCAAAATGGCCACACACTTCCATCGCCCAATCAGAGGCAGCGAGGGCCGTCGAGTCCTGCCAGGAGAAGGAAGAACCAATCAGAACATTTCATTTTTATCCATTTACCAACAAGTTAACAGATTACGTTTGATTCTTAATCTAATTCCTTCCAAGTGTTCCTTATAGGACAGAGAGGAGTCAAGCTGGACATCCGGAAGTTTGTATGTGTGTGTGTGTGTGTGTGTGTGTGTGTGTGTGTGTGTGTGTGTGTGTGTGTGTGTGTGTGTGTGTGTGTGTGTGTGTGTGTGAACGAGTGAGTGAAAGAGACAGACTGGAGCTGCTGGTGGTAGTGTCCCACCAGTTACCATGTTTACATGATTCATGAGAATTAAGAACGTAGAATGGGTCCATTATGGACCAATGGAAACCCTAACCCCTTTAATGACCACACCCCCTCATGATGTCACTAACAGCTGAACAACATTACCTTGGGAACCTGACAGGCACAAAGAATTTTCCCAGAATCCCTCTGGTGAGCGAGAAGCATCACATGACTGAGCGGAGAGGCGGAGCTTAGCAGGTTTACGGTCTTCATGAGAACCTGGAGCAAAGAACCAGATCAGAAGCTGAACCCTGGGCTGACCTCTGATCAGCTGACGATTAAAACGTTTGAGGAACAGAACCAGGAAGTGCTCAGACCCGACCTGAACACCAGAACAGATCCAGACTGACCCGAGATCTCGCGTCTGGGTTCTGGTCTGACCCGATGGGGCAGAAGGTCAAAGCCTGGACCTGTCCAAAACCTGGGTCCACACCGAGCTGACACTATAACGCTCACCAGGTGTAGTTCAGCGGCTGCCTGTTTCATGTCTCATCAGCTGTTCTTGATGTTGGACACACAGCAGAGAACTGATGCGCCCCCTGCTGTCCTGTGGAGGTGGATTGTTCCTTCATCCCTGCTGATGTTCAGGGGTCTCATTTATCAAACATGGCGTACAATCCTTACTAAAACCGTACTTAAGCTCAGCAAAACAAATGTACTTACGCCAAGCAGGTGTGTGATCTATCAAACATGGAGTACACACGGCTGCACGCGATCTCCGCTTCATAAATCAGAAACTATCTGGAAAGGTTCTCAGCTGCTTTTAGTCACATCCCGCCCTCACCACGCCCACTTACTGCCATAAATGGTCAATGCAAAGTGCCTTGTGGATCTCATGCATGTACATAAGCCGGCTGTTGCAGCGCTCCGCCAATGACATGGCGACCGTAGATCAAGGCAGATCAAGGAAGCGCTATTTCACAAGCAGAAGTTGAGGTACGTGTGGGTGAGGTGGAGAAATGACAGGAAGTGCTTTTGCAAAACAAATAAGAGAAAATCCACGGAGTGGCACAGCGTTGCTGAAGCCATCAATGCTGACTTCTTCAGAGAGATCTGTGGCGAATATAAAAACAATGGCCCAATCTGGATTTAATCCCCAGACTCTCAGGTGAAAGTCACGTGTGCTAACCAGTCAGCCAAACGGAGATCTCCCCTGTACAAGTAGCCAGGGCGCATGATCAATCGGGTCACAGTGACAGGACACACACTGTCACACACGCATGATGTTCTGTCTCAATCTGTCCCCCTGCTGATATTCTGCATTCTGCGCTTCAGGCTGTGTGTGTGTGTGTGTGTGTGTGTGTGTGTGTGTGTGTGTGTGTGTGTGTGTGTGTGTGTGTGAGAGTGTACAAGTGATAATGCTGCAGGATTTCATAATTGTATCTTCTCAGCAGCAGCACTGCAGGTGCTCTCCATGTCCAGCATGTGTGTCAGCCAGGTCCTTAGTCAACTTAAAGTTGCGCACATTTTTCCGCTAAGTTTTCTCTCATAAATCCCAAAGTTTGCGTGGAAAGTCGCTTACGCAGTTTTCTGACCCGTTTTGTGCGTAAGCTAGCTTGATATGAGGCCCAAGGTCTCTCTGTGTGTAAAACGTCAAGAACAGCCGATGCAACAGGTCACTTAAAACTCGACTCGTCTGGGGATGGCTGGAGGAAAAAGCTGGAGCACGTCAAACCAACAGGAATGTGGATCGTTATGCTGATCTTGGCCCTCTTTCTCCATACTCAAAACCAGTTGTTACCAGTTTGGGGGTGAAACTTGATGAAGGACTTAAATTTGATGCTCACATCAATTCTGTGATCCGGTCCAGTTTCTTTCACCTGAGACGCCTTGCTAAAATCAAGCATATGCTGTCGAGAGCCCACCTGGAGCGGGTACTGCATGCCTTTGTAATTTCTCGGCTTGACTACTGCAACTCTCTATATGCAGGGTTGTGTCAGTCAACACTGCGTCGCCTACAGGTTGTGCAGAACAGCGCTGCCAGGTTCCTGACTGGGACCAGGAAACGGGACCACATCAGTCCAGTTCTGGCCTCCCTGCACTGGCTTCCGATTTCCTATCGCTCACAATTCAAAATACTCGTCTTTGTTTATCATTTCTTCCAGGGTGGAGGTCCCCCCTATCTGGCCACTCTCCTGAACAGACACTCCCCATCACGTGCTCTGCGCTCCTCTGACCAAGGCCTGCTCGCTGTCCCTCGGTCTAGGTGTCGTACCCGTGGGGACCGGGCTTTCTCAGTCCTAGCACCGTTACTCTGGAACCAGTTGCCACCCTCAGTTAGGCTGTCCCCTTCTCTGCCAGTCTTTAGGAATCACCTAAAAACACACCTCCTCCGCTTGGCGTTTCCAGAACATGTTTGATTTTGGCCCTCTATTATGTTGAATCCATTCCACAGTTTTCATTGGTTCACTCAATCCAAATGTGTCTCACACATTTGTATTTTACCAGAATGTTTCATCTATCTTGTAATTTCCATTTTGTATTTTGTAATTTGAATTTCTTTTATTGTTGATTTATTCAGTATATTTACATACAACTGTACAATGTTCAGCGCTTTGGGCTTCCTGACAGGGTTGCGGAAGGCGCTTTATAAATAAAGCTTTGATTGATTGATTGATTGATTGATTGATTGAATGTAAACCTTGTTTCTGTCTACAGCAGCTTGATTATCAAGGACGAAGAACATGAGAACTTTCATAGTAACGTGCTCCAGGTTTCTAAAGCTGTGGGTGGGTCTGCTCGATTTTTAAAAAAAACCAATCACTCACAGCTTCAACATCAAAACCACAAACGACCGACTCACCGACAGTGAGTCCGTGTCCACCGAGTCCACCAGCAGATCCTTTATGTTGTTCTTCTCCAGCAGACCCTGAGCTTTCTTGCCAGCCTGAGGAAGGCATGAACAATGATAAAGCAGCAGCCCGTCTTCAGTTCTAACGTGTTTGAGAACTGAGGCGAGCTACAGGTATGTCAGGTGAGTTCTTATTGGCTACAGACCTCTCTGGTGTCCCCCAGGGCTCCATCTTAGGGCCGTTAATGTTTTCTTATATGTACCGGTACAGGGGGCAGTTTTAGAAAGTAAATCATCACCTTCCCCTTCTATGCTGATGTCTACTTGCTCCAGGGACCAACCAGCCTCTCTTCGGCTGTTTGGATGAGCAGGAACTTCTCACATCCTGACAGAGATTATGTTAGGTCATAAACACTCTGACCCATGCAACCCTGCATCTACCTTACATTCTGCACTCCCTCACTCCAGCTCAGGTCAGCAACCCAGCTCCTGCAGGAGGTCTCCAAAATCAGGCTGAAGACCAGAGGTGGGACACCTGCCCACCTGTTGGGCTGGTGATGTTTCGGAGTTTTATGAATGTCTATTTTTTTTTTTATTAAAAATGCTCATAAACTCCCATCTGTGTTTAGTCCCATGAGCCAGGTGGTGACAGAGTCAGGATAGGGTCAGATGTGTGTCAAAAGTGAGTCAGGTGTGCTCTGACCTCTCTGGCCTCCAGTTTCCTGATGAGCGTATTGGTGGTCCTCAGTATTGTTCGCAGGCGGCCCTGCAGTTCTCTGCGTTGCCACTGTGGCATGGAGGCGTTATCCACAGCCTGTCAAACGCAGCACAGGGCTAAAAAACACAGAACATCCTCGATAATCAGCTGCAGCGCATCATGGGTGGTCCTCTTACATCAGACAAGACACTGGCCTCCCTGGAAATGCGCTGGGCGTAGTCAAGGCTGGAGTGGGCGGAGCCTGGCAATCTCGCTGACATAGAGTCCACATCCTGAGACAAAGCCCGCCCCGTCTCCCGTGCCTGAGGAGCCGTCTCACTTTACACTTGTATGACATCAGAGACTCTGATCACGTGGGACTCACCTGTATGGCTTCCTGTCCCGTCACAGCAATGATCCGACTTACTCCTTTCGCCAGCTGTTTCTCGGAGACGATCACCAGATCCTCAATGGCGCCGGTCTGAAGCAGATGTCTGAAAGAACGAACACACCTGTGACATCCACACACCTGATGTGGCTTAAGGACAGGACAGTCAGGTTCCTGTTACCTGCCTAGCAAACCTCACCTGCACCTGACCAGCAGTTTCTACAAACCCAAGTCAGAGTAATCCAGTCTGAAAAACACCTGAGACCAAACCCAGCAAACTTCCTGTGGATCATTTCCTAACGGGGCGGGGCGAAGCTCAAACGCTTGGTCACAGATTACACCTGAGTTAGAAGCTCAAAGGGGCAGATGACTCTGTCAATCAATCAGTCAAACTTTATTTATAAAGCACTTAATCACGCAATACACGCAACTCAAAGTGCTTCACTTTGCACACACACACACACACACACACTGGAAAAAACACAATGGGCTGAGATCAGATGAGCCAAATCAGCTAAGATAAGGTTAAGGAAACACCATCAGGGGAGCCATCCGCCCCGACAGCAGCAGATCCACAGCAGCAGCCGAGGCCCCGACACAGGGCGCCCAGGGCAGGGAGGGCGGAGGCCCCCACCTCCACCCAGGCACACCTGGAAAGCACCCAGGCCGCCACAGCCGACAACTGCCCCCGGGGCAGAGGGCTCCCACAGAGGAAACACTGGAAAAAGGCTAAATTAAGGTTAAAATATAAAATCAAAAGAGCTAAAATGAGAATTGTAATATAAAAAATTATATCGACGTTAAAATAATGTTGATCATAAATTATGGTAAAAAATTCTGTTTAAAAATAGAACGTATAAAGAAAGAATGCATAAAATAAATAAATAAATAAATAACCTAATTAATGAATTAAGATGAAAAAGATGAGTCTGGGCTCCTGCTGGTATTAATCTGGTTGACCCGGAGCTCAGTGGCTATGAACACATGAACGTCCACCGGCACACGCCTTCCCGTCACCAAAAAAACCAGATGGCAGTCTGACAGCTCCTGATTGATCAGCTGTGTGACATCACTCATCCACCTAGGGCCCCATCCTGGTTGGGTCGGCTGATCAAACTTAAAAAAAAAGAGATGACCACTAGGTAAAGGTCTGGACAGGTGAACAGGTGGTTCTGTTCTCACGTTCCACAGCAGAGCTCCACAGACGTCTCTCTATCCATCTCGGCATCCAGAAGCTCAGACACCGGAACTTCCAGAGACACCACACGGACTGGGTCGGGATACACCTGCATAGACAGAGGGGTCCTAGAGGTCAGCATACCTGGAGACACAGGTGAGACCAAGGTGAACGGTGTCTCAGCTCACCTCATCCACAGTTCTCAGTCCTGGGATGGTCCTGACTCTCTGCAGGGGAAGCTCTGAGCTGTGGACCATCTGATTAGCAGCAATGATGTCATTAACAAACCTCTCTACCTGCTGGAGTTCAGAGGAGCCGAGGGAACCCTGAAGAGAACCAACAGGACTCATCAGAACCTTTGTGGGTCGATCACCAGGGAAGCAGGTCTCACCTTGACGCTGAAGTCAAAGCGCAGGCGGTCTGCGGACACGTGAGAACCTCTTTGATGGACAGACGGACCCAGAACCTTCCTCAGAGCAAAGTTCAGGACGTGGGTGGCTGTATGGTTCACCATGCAGGACAGCCGGTGGACCTGAGACGGACGGATGGATGTGGGACAGCGAAAGGACAACAAAGATACCCGGGCTCTGGTGTTTTTGGTTCTGGACCACGTCCCGGCCCAGCTGGTTTTACCTGGTCCAGGTGCAGCTGGATGTGGTCTCCGGTCTTCAGGCTGTCGGCTGCGGTCACCTGATGGACCACATACCCCCCGGCCCGGACCACCGCCTCCACGGGATACAGAACATCCTGAAAGACAGAACCGGGCATTGGCTGGACTTGAGGGGATTTCCCATGATGCACTTCCACTCTCAGTGTTCAGCTGACCGGAAGCCCGGTGCGGGTGAAGTATCCCAGGTCATGTGACTGCCCCCCCTGCTCAGAATAAAAGCAGGTCTGGTCCAGAACCACTCCACAGCGCTGACCTTCACGGACCTCAGGAACCAGAACCTGGCCATCATACAGGGCCAGAACGGTCGCATGGCATGCTGGGAACACTGCAAGGAGGGAGGAGTTATTATCCCGCTGTGGACCAATCAGAGGCTGTGCAGTAAGGATGTACCGTATCGGCCTCGGTCCAGTTGGTACTGGTACTTGAGGCTGTCGTCGGTGTGGGGAAGTCCGAGACGCAGCAGCGCCGCCAGGCTGAGAACATCCGGCGTCACTTGTGATGGAGCATCTGACTGCAGCTCAGACGCTGCCTGAAACAAGTGTGACATCATGAGTGATGTCACTGGTTACACGTGTAACCTATTTCCACATTAGTTTCACAATAAAAGCCCCTCCTTCCCCTGTGTTAAACGTTTAGTGTGACGCTGAACGCCAGGTAGTTAAATACTCTTGCAAGTGTTTAAACTGGGAGGAACCAGGTGCATCCTGGGAGTTTTAGTGTGGTTATACCTTCTGATGCTGGGCGACCAGTCGGTCCAGCTCCTCGCGGTCAACCTGGACGCCTTTCTCCTCCAACATCAGGTCCACCAGGTCCAGAGGAAAGCCCAAGTCCCGGTGCAGAGACCAGGCTACTGAGGCTGAAACAGAACCAACAGGGTCAACAGTTGGACCTGCACCCCGACCAGAACCAACCAGAATCTGCACAATCGATCACAGACCAGGAAACGGGTCGTCTCTGGTCTCCTGCTTGCTGAGGGTTCGTCGAATGATCCTGCTGCCTTGCTCCAGAGAAGACAGGAAGTGAGCTTCGTTCTCGTTGATCACGTCTGTAATCTGTCAAAGAGGAGCCAGATGATGACGACATCCTGTGACATCATCCAGGTGTTAAACATGAGGGCGAGCAGCCAGGTCAGAATAAAACCACGAGACTTACCCGGTCCACGTCCACGGACAGCTCTGGGTACACGTCCCCCTGCCGGCAGAGAGGGGATCGGTCTCGTCAAAAACCAGCCCTCCCAGTTAAACCATCAACACCAGTGAGGAGGATCCATCACTCCTAAACTAAAAATCCTTTCAAATAACCAGGAAGTCAAACAGGAAATACCTACAAACCCTTCAGTCACTCAAATAACAACAAAACATTGGTGTCATCCCGCTCCAGGTTCTGGTTCTGATGGACTGGCCCACGTGCATTCTGGTGCTGGTTGCACAGCAGACAATGTGCATTGTGGGTAATGCTTCTTACCAGTGTGTGAACGACAGTGGGAACCAGGCTGCCCAGTGCTCCCTGTGGAATCTTCAGGACTTCGACACAGAACCGGACTGCTCGCCTCAGAATCCTCCTCAGAACCAACCTGGCACAGAAACACAGCACAGGTGAGCTACTCCTGTACGGCTAATGACATCACACAGGTGCCAGGAGACAGGACAGGCTTACTCGGGTCCTGACATGCCAGGATGGACTCCATCTGCAATGCAGACCGATAAAGTCCGTATGTGGTCCGCCACCACTCTGTAGGCCATGTCCACCTGTCCTTCATCTGCTGCACCTGTCCTGCCGAGGTAAGGCCCCACCCCGGAGCTCTGTGGGAGGAGCAGTCAAAATGGTTTTCACCCGGACGGAACGCCAGTGCGGACCTGGACGGAACATGTGTGCATACCTGGTGGATGGCGTCCAGCAGCGGAGTGAACAGGTCAGTGTCGTAGTTGGACCGTTTCCCCTGCAGGACGCTCACCAGCCTCTCCAGACCCATTCCAGTATCAACGCAGAACTTGGGCAGTGGACGCAGACTGTGGTCCGCCTCCCTGGAACAGAACAAGACCTCAGCCTGCTGAAGCCCCAAACCCGAGTCCCGGTCCTGGTCTGGACTGAACACTGACCTGTTGTACTGAATAAAGACCAGGTTCCAGATCTCCACCACATCTGGACTGTCTGCGTTGACCAGTGCCGCGGCATCTCGGCCCCCCACGTGGTCATAATGGATCTCGGTGCAGGGTCCACAAGGACCTGTGTCCCCCATCTCCCAGAAGTTGTCCTTCAGTCCGAATGGCAGGATGCGAGCAGGAGGAACCCTGAGGAGCAGAGACCTGGTCAGCTGACCCAATTCTAGCCTGATGTGTCTCCAGGCAGAAGCGGGCCTACCCCAGATCCAGCCAGATGCGTCGCGTCTCCTCATCCGCCGGTAACCTCGACTTAGAATCCCCACCAAAATAAGACACATACAGCCGGTTTGCAGGTATCCCATAATGCTCTGTTAGGAGGCTCCACGCCATGTGACACGCCTCCTCCTGACCACACACAGACATAGCGTGAGACTTTGCTCACATAAACAGCCTCACACATCACAGTGACCCTCCCACCTTGAAGTAGTCTCCAAAGGACCAGTTCCCGAGCATCTCGAAGAAGGTGTGGTGATAGACGTCTCTGCCCACGTCATCCAGATCATTGTGTTTCCCGCCAGCTCGGACACATTTCTGACTGTTGACCACTCTGCGGTATGTTGCCATCGGGCTGCGCGGATCTGCCGTTCCCAGGAAGACGGGTTTGAACTGAAATCACAACAGACTGATGATCTGTTGTCCCGGGAACCACATCTACACCCAAACTACAGCTGATCATATCAGGGTAACAGCTGATCAGGGTAACAGCTGATCATATCAGGGTAACAGCTGATCATATCAGGGTAACAGCTGATCATATCAGGGTAACAGCTGATCAGGGTAACAGCTGATCATATCAGGGTAACAGCTGATCATATCAGGATAACAGCTGATCATATCAGGGTAACAGCTGATCAGGGTAACAGCTGATCATATCAGGGTAACAGCTGATCATATCAGGATAACAGCTGATCAGGGTAACAGCTGATCATATCAGGGTAACAGCTGATCATATCAGGGTAACAGCTGATCATATCAGGATAACAGCTGATCATATCAGGGTAACAGCTGATCAGAGTAACAGCTGATCATATCAGGGTAACAGCTGATCATATTAGGGTAACAGCTGATCAGGGTAACAGCTGATCATATCAGGGTAACAGCTGATCAGGGTAACAGCTGATCATATCGGGGTAACAGCTGATCATATCAGGGTCACAGCTGATCAGGGTAACAGCTGATCATATCAGGGTAACAGCTGATCAGGGTAACAGCTGATCATATCAGGGTAACAGCTGATCATATCAGGATAACAGCTGATCATATCAGGGTAACAGCTGATCAGAGTAACAGCTGATCAGGGTAACAGCTGATCATATCAGGGTAACAGCTGATCAGGGTAACAGCTGATCATATCAGGGTAACAGCTGATCATATCAGGGTAACAGCTGATCAGGGTAACAGCTGATCATATCAGGGTAACAGCTGATCATATCAGGGTCACAGCTGATCAGGGTAACAGCTGATCAGAGTAACAGCTGATCATATCAGGGTAACAGCTGATCAGGGTAACAGCTGATCATATCAGGGTAACAGCTGATCATATCAGGGTCACAGCTGATCAGGGTAATAGCTGATCATATCAGGGTAACAGCTGATCATATCAGGGTCACAGCTGATCAGGGTAACAGCTGATCATATCAGGGTAACAGCTGATCAGGGTAACAGCTGATCATATCAGGTTAACAGCTGATCATATCAGGGTAACAGCTGATCAGGGTAACAGCTGATCATATCAGGGTAACAGCTGATCAGGGTAACAGCTGATCATATCAGGGTAACAGCTGATCATATCAGGGTAACAGCTGATCATATCAGGGTAACGGCTGATCATATCAGGGTAACAGCTGATCAGGGTAACAGCTGATCATATCAGGGTAACAGCTGATCATATCAGGATAACAGCTGATCATATCAGGGTAACAGCTGATCAGGGTAATAGCTGATTATATCAGGGTAACAGCTGATCATATCAGGGTCACAGCTGATCAGGGTAACAGCTGATCATATCAGGGTAACAGCTGATCATATCAGGGTCACAGCTGATCAGGGTAACAGCTGATCATATCAGGGTCACAGCTGATCAGGGTAACAGCTGATCATATCAGGGTAACAGCTGATCATATCAGGGTCACAGCTGATCAGGGTAATAGATGATCATATCAGGGTAACAGCTGATCATATCAGGATAACAGCTGATCAGGGTAACAGCTGATCAGGGTAACAGCTGATCATATCAGGTTAACAGCTGATCATATCAGGGTAACAGCTGATCAGGGTAACAGCTGATCATATCAGGGTAACAGCTGATCAGGGTAACAGCTGATCATATCAGGGTAACAGCTGATCATATCAGGGTAACAGCTGATCATATCAGGGTAACGGCTGATCATATCAGGGTAACAGCTGATCATATCAGGGTAACAGCTGATCATATCAGGGTAACAGCTGATCATATCAGGGTAACAGCTGATCAGGGTAACAGCTGATCAGGGTAACAGCTGATCATATCAGGGTAACAGCTGATCAGGGTAACAGCTGATCATATCACGGTAACAGCTGATCATATCAGGGTAACAGCTGATCAGAGTAACAGCTGATCATATCAGGGTAACAGCTGATCATATCAGGGTAACAGCTGATCATATCAGGATAACAGCTGATCATATCAGGGTAACAGCTGATCAGGGTAATAGCTGATCATATCAGGGTAACAGCTGATCATATCAGAGTCACAGCTGATCAGGGTAACAGCTGATCATATCAGGGTAACAGCTGATCATATCAGGGTCACAGCTGATCAGGGTAACAGCTGATCATATCAGGGTCACAGCTGATCAGGGTAACAGCTGATCATATCAGGGTAACAGCTGATCATATCAGGGTCACAGCTGATCAGGGTAATAGCTGATCATATCAGGGTAACAGCTGATCATATCAGGATAACAGCTGATCAGGGTAACAGCTGATCATATCAGGGTAACAGCTGATCATATCAGGGTCACAGCTGATCAGGGTAATAGCTGATCATATCAGGGTAACAGCTGATCATATCAGGGTAACGGCTGATCAGGGGAACAGCCTGCCTCCTGCTTAACTGTGTTTTTGACCAACTCAACCAGTTTAAATTAAGCTGTGATTTTAGTCATCTTCTGCCAAATACCCACCAGAGTGACTAACTGGTGCCTGCACTGATCTGGTTACGGGGTCATTTATGCTGCAGCTCCAATCGTAAAGATGCTTTTATTCACTGATCCAAAAGCAGAACCCCGGTCGGTTCTGCGGTGCTGCTAAAGGTGAGGGATACTTTATTTGTTTTATTTTGGAGTGTTAATAAAGTTAAACAGAACAACACGACTCGTTAAATGTCCAACTGGACTCTTATTTTGAAAGACTCTCCGACTGACTGAACCGGACCACAAACCAACCTGGTTCATACCGGCGTTCACGAACAGCAAGCTCGGGTCTCCTCTGGGTCGGACGGGAGAAGACGGAACCAGAATGTGTCCGTGGCTCTCCTGGAAGAAGTCCAGGAAGGTCTTCCGGACCTGCGCGGCAGGAAACAAGGGCGGAAACCCGCTGAGAGAGCGCACCGAGGCGGCAGAGAGCGGTCGGAACCGCCGCAGGACTGACTCCAGCATCTGGATCACAATCTCACAGAGCCAAACCAGACCCGAACCATCTCCTCAAGGTGTTTTGGGGGCGCATGCGCGCAGCTGTCTTCTTCTAAGTACATATTATATGTCGTAAATGTTATGCTGCCACCTGGTGATCACATTTGGCTGCTGCAGCTGAGAAAGCCACAGTACATGCGCGCGCACGATTTGAATAGATAAAAATACAAAAAAACATCTGTTATTATTATTAGTATGTAGATTTGTATGTCTGTGTCTTTAATGCTGTTTCTCCTTGGAAACACAATTCTTTATTTTAATTCATTTATTTTCGTTTGCTGAAGTTACATCATGGCCAAATGTGTATTTAACTAGCTGCCTTAACGAGTTACCTTCACCACTGGTCT